ATTCATCAATCTCAATATAATTAATATTATAAAATTCAAATATTATCTCAATCATATTAACTACCTATAATCATGCTCTAGTGAGCTAATCGAATAGAACGGTCTGTAAATATGAATGTATCTTACGAGTTCAGGGAATCTGTCCTTGAGAAGACGAACTGTTCTAGGTACTAGACCGTTGTCCTTGAATGCCTCTTCCCCTGTTGGAGTCTAAACAACATTGATGTATATGTAAATTTCTATGTGGGCTTTATCAAAAGAGAAAGGAAAAAAAAAATTATGTGGACTCGTAATAATTAAGAAAAAAATGACAAAACCTTTAATGCGTCAGGAACTTTAGGATACAACATTATGCTATTCACACCAGCATCTCGTGCTCTTGCAACCTGCTCTCCTCCCAAAACACACACGAGTGGTTTAAGTTGATGCGTAGCCAAGAAAATTCATTTTTATAACACATGACTGCATGAGGCTTAATTGACATCGATCGGTACAAAATCTTAAAGTCTTGATTTTAGGTCCCTGTCAGGACAAATCGTGAGCCTATTTGTTTACAAGTAATATGTGAAGAGCACAGACATTAGTGCCTATAGTCTCTAAGGCTTAGCTCAACCACGTATCACTCAGCCACTAGAATCAGGAATGTCCTGAGTTCAACTAAATGAATCTGCTCTAGCCTCCGGTCCGAAAAGGTTATGGACCTAGCGATGTAAAAAAAAATTTGATCAAAAGATAACACTCACTTCTTTTATGAGGCCCTGTCTCCAGCCAAGGATGTACCGTCCTGGCATTGTTCTTATCGGAATGTCTACCTCACCTGAATGAATATAAAGTCAGTTAAATAAAATAAAATAAAAAGAACACATATAAAACTACGTATTTCTTTTTATAACCACGTAATTAACCTTGATGAATGAAGAGCAACATAAAACTATGTATTTCTTTTTATAACCGCGTAATTAACCTTGATGAATGAAGAGCGGGTAAATGAAATTTGCAGGAGAGATACTAGTGTCTTGAAAGGCAGCTCTCTGAATAGGGGACTTGCGGTTACGGCGTGCGCGTCGGCTTAGCTGCTGAAAAAATTAAACTCCTATCAGATTTAGAAGAACAGAAGAAGTTTATTACCAAAAATTGAGGGTTTACTTACAAGAGGCTGAATAATCATAGGACCAGCTGGTTTACTCGACACTAGATGCGCGGCGCCTCGGGAGCATTTACAAGAGGCTGATCAATCCTTTGCAGTTGACAAGCAATTTCTTTACTTGACGAAGGATGGATTCTCAAGGTGTTAATACCCTCGTAGCTCTTATGGTCAATCCCTTTCATCACCGGAATCTTGCAAGGAGTTCTAAACATGGATGACTTCATGTATATATGCTAGAAAATGGATTACAAACGAACTTCGTATATATGAAACCAAGATGTCAAATTCAGAGAGTGAGAGACTTTAGTTTTATAGTC